TAAACAAACTGTGAATATTGACTCATGGAATCAGTCTGTACATTTGTCCAATGATAGCATAGAGCAGTTGCAGTTTTGGTTGAGTGATATTGATAAACACAAGAACTGTTATTTGTCAGATGCTTCTGTTGTGATCTGAATTGTCTGTAGTGATGCTAGTAGCCATGGTTACGGTGGTTATTGCATGGAGTATGGACAGCACCAAGCGCATGGGAAGTGGTCAGTGGTTGAGACACAGAGGAGTTCGACATGGAGAGAATTGCAAACTGTCAATCTTGTTTTGCAGAGCTTAGCGCCAATGCTATCCACACAGAGGGGGTGAAATGGTTCGTGGATAATTCAAATGTTGAGTCTATCGTTGCTAAAGGGATCACGACAACTGACTTACAGAGCATTGCCATGGAGATATTTAGAGTGTGTTTAGCCGATCACATTCATTTGAAGGTGCAGTGGATTCCCAGGACAGAGAATGAACGAGCTGATTATATCAGTCGGATTGTAGATCATGATGACTGGGGTGTGTGAGTGCACACGTGTTTCAGCATCTAGAGCATGTGTGTGGAGAATATGAAGTGGAGAGATTTTACTTCTTATTACAATAAGAAGGTAGATAAGTTTTATTCCAGCTATTGGAATCCAGGATTTGAAGGTGTTGATGCATTTACTGTACACTGGGAAGATGTGAATAATTGGTTAGTTCCACCAGTGTATCTTGTAGCGAGAGTACTTTCACATAAGAGAGTATGTAAAGGCAAGGGGACACTGATAGTACCAGCCTGGTACTCTGCTAGTTACTGGCCCCTGTTGTGTCCCAATTGAATGATGTTTAAGTGTATTAACATGTGTGATGTTATTGCCATTCAACGGTTCGGTTCTCGGGTGGTGCACGGTAGCCAATGTCATTGTGAGTCATGTCAATGTTGTGGAGGAAGTGTAAAGTAGGAGAACTGTTGGTACAGCAGTGTTTGGTGCAGCTTTGTGCTGTACGACAGCCAACCAAAATAATTGAACTCGGGGACAACAATTCAGAGTTCCAAGTATCATCTGATTAACATGGGTACATTCTGTGAAGCCAATTCATGGTGTCGTGATATTGCTGGAATATTACTAAATACGGCGTAAAATCAAACTCACTCATTCACTCCAATTAAGAACGTGTGTAAAACACCTTTAGAACAACGAGGTCGTGATGACCGAACCATTTTTTATGCATCAAAGGAAACACTTGCTCTTGCAAGTAAAGGCAGTTGTTCTGGAAAAATAAGCGTCGAACACTTTCATGGAAAGTCAGACAAAACTGAATATAATTTACGAAAGACTTTTTAAATTATCAAAATGGATGCTATACCCTCTTCGAGCTTATTAAAACCTGTAATAAAAGAGAGTGCGTGGTGAGGGCGTCTTCACGCATATGTATATACTATTTGCATAATATATCATTTCTTCATGTTGTCTTTGGTAGTCAAAATTTAATTATGAATAAATAAGTTTTAAATTCTTCAATCAAGTTGAAAAAGTTACTTCACATCTGTGATTTAAAAAAAAAAATAGAGGATATTCTTTCCAAGTGAAGAATATGTTTGTGTTGAGTCCTTTACAAAGCTAATGTCAAAACACTATTTAGAATTGTGTTTAACGATGTTTACCTTATTAAGTTGACCGATTAGCATGGGGAGAGAAGAAATTGGTGAAGTGTATATACTATTTTGTTGAAACCCACAAAAAGTGTTTTTTTTGTAATAACAAAGAAAGATGTAGGTTAAGTGCGAATATGGGATTCATACACACGGTCACTTGATCCCTGTGAGTCTATGGGATGCAACTCAGCTGTTGGTTTGTTAATGTTCAAATCAAGAAGGTACAGAAATACTGTGTCGGAGGGTGTGTAGACTCCCCAACACTGTAGCCTTCTGTATCACACGAGTTGAACAACTGAACTCGGGGACAACAATTGAGAGTTCCAGGTACGACCGTATCATCTTATTAAAATGGGTACATTGTGTGAAGCCCATTCTTGGTGTCCCCCACCGTGATATTGCTGGAATATTGCCAAAAGCGGCGCAAAACTAAACTTACTCAGTCACTCACTCACCCAAGTACTCAGTCAGCACATTGGGAGGTACCAAACCTTTGGGCACCAAAACCAACCCGGATGCAAGCGGGAAATGTCGTCAGCTAGATCCGAATACTTAGTTCAGATTCCTGTTAATCACATTTGTGTCAAAAGGAACCGTTACGTAAAATGTTAAAAATTATGTGATTGGTTTTATCAAAAAGGTGAGCGAGTGAGTTTAGTTTTACGCCGCACTCAGCAATATTCCAGCTATATGGCGGCGGTTTGTAAACCATCGAGTCTGGCTCAGACAATCCAGTGGTCAACATTATGAGCATCGATCTACGCAATTGGGATACAATGCATCATTCATTCATTTCCATCTGGAAAATACTAATACCGAGTCGGGAGGCGTATTCTTATTATACACACCATTTGATGGGTTTGGGGTAGGTTCGGTCGAATTCCAGGTAACTTAAACCTGGTTCCCGTGGTCTGCTGCGCTAACGCTTCGACACTGAGGCTGTAGTTAACTCAAGCAACCGAGTTATTATCATGTAGGGCAAATAGTGTCATGACCTCGCTCAGAGATACAACACTAAAAGTAAAATGCTGTCATGCGGATAGACAATCCTGTGTGACCTTGAAAATAACATGTAAATGTATTTGTCTATGAAAAGTCAAGGTCAAGGTCAGTAACTGAATCCTGAAGCGGTGGTAAAATGTTTCTTTCAAGACGTGTATAGATTGCAGGAGGACTTTCAAGATTGTTTTATGAACGCTTTACTCGCCTTTGCCTTTATTTATGACAGGTGCCACCGATGGGAGAGGATATGCACATCTTTCAACTTACACCTGGTATCATCACTACTTGATATTGATTCATAAACACATGCTTATCTGGTAGGCTAAACTGTACAATCAGCCATGCTTTTAACAGATGTTTTTTATGGATTCGAAAGGGTTTTGTGGCTTCTATCTTATCAGACGATATTGACGAAGTTATTTCTGAGCTGTTTCACAAAGATTATGCGAGTTGGTCATAAACAACAGAAAACGCTGGTATCGTGTGCAAAATGGGATTCCTGTTGTGACGTGTCTAGTCACATGATACGTTCTTACAGTTTGTGGGTAGGGTGGCTGGGGGCGCTTAATGGATACCTTTGATTGAAGAGCCAACAGTTAAAACGTGGGAAATAATGTTCATATTTACTGTTTGTTGACTTGTTTGTTTGTTGTTTAACTCTTCAGTCAACAACTTATAGTGTAATATGGAAACTGACCGAGTTAATTCAGCTGTTTGAGGAAATAGCTGTGTCGTGATGAGGACGCTGGCTATCTGATCCTATTCCTCTGTGATGTAATAATACACGAATATGTCTCCTCATATATATAATTATATTTCTTATGTCCCAATTTAAAATGTTGGCGGATGAATGGTCACATGTTATGTGTGTTGGCTTTGTGTATGAAAGACATTCATCTTCTGTTTAGTTCTGAGACAAATCGGCAATAGGCAGTTTATGTTTGTTTGTTGTTGCCTCACTCGGCATTATTCCAGCTATACGGCGGCGGTTTGTAAACCATCGAGTCTGGACCAGACAATCCAGTGGTCAACATTATGAGCATCGATATACGCAATTGGGATATGTGTCAACCAAGTCAGTTGAATGTTCAGCAACCCCGCGATATGAATGATGACAAAACGATCCAAAACGACCAAACGGCAAAATCGACAGAAACGATCACCCTGTTCTCGTACAACACTGCACAACGAAGCGGGTCGCGACTGGGTCATTGGAAGTTTGCTTGCGTCAGTCTGCTCCCCAACCTTGCAATGTAAGCAAATGTAGCAATCAAACAACAGCAACATTTAAGAGATAAACAATCCCTTTCAGGTATACAAGTGTTATTTCATAATATGATGTCTTAAAATTCATGTTTAACTGTAAAGTTTGCAGATGACGCCGCACACGCTGGATTTATAAGGCACTCGGAGAATGACTATCGCTCTGAAATCACAAAATGTCTTGATTGGTGTAACATCAACTTCCTTAAATAATATGTTAAAAAAACAAAAGAGATGATTATTGATTTTCGGAAAAGTAAAAGTGAGCTGTTGCCAATTGCCATTGATAACGAAACCATAGATAGAGTTGAGGATTATAAGTATCTTGGCACAGTGATAGATTATAAGCTCAACTGGAACAGCAATACTGATCACATATACAAGAAAGGACTAAAGCGTTAAAGGACTAAAGCGGCTATACTTCCTACTAGATTGACACAACCATATTGTCATTTTTCTATAAGTCTTTTATTCAAAGATATTGGCACTATCTTCAAGCAGCAAATTGAAAAGAAAGCACGTAAAATTTTAAATAACAGCACTCATGTCCTATTTCCTGAATTTCAACTTCTTCCTTCTGGCCAACGACTGCGCACGCCGATATTCAGAACAAACAGGGCTCGAAATTCAATCATCCCAGCCAGCATCAGTGTTTTAAATGAATTATTTAATGTTTGTTTATCATTTTATAATACTCAATTGTTTCAAACTGTTATATTAATATACTTATATTGATGTTACTCAGCAAATATGTTAATGTCGCCACTATATAGCTCTGAATCTTAAATATATTATTATTTATTCATCATTTACCTTTACCTCATATATTAGGCGTTGTTGCTAGCTGTTTTAGTACTATTTCACATGTGTGTGTGGGGTGGGGTGGGGTGGGGGTTGGGGTTGTGGTCTTATGTATGTGTATCTTTTGTTGCATTGTATGTGTTTTCAATGTTAACCGTGCAAAGAAAATTTCCTTCGGGATAATAAAGCATTATCTTATCTTTGAAACGCGGGTGTTAGCCATTGGTTAAACTCTGGTTTGACAGCATTTAAACCTTAATCGATGGCTGGTAAAGCTGACTAGTGCCGTTTGATTGTTGCGCAATAACACCCGACGCTCACAGCATAGTGACCCGAGAGTCCTACTGCAGGAGAGACAACCATGGCTGACCTGTCGAGCACATCTATTTGGGTTAAAGTGTGTCTAATCCTCATTCCTTTGGGTGGATTGTTTCATTTGATAGGTTTCGCATCACCATATTGGGTCAAAGCAGGACTATCCCACAGTGGACTCTGGCGAGCTTGTACTCGAACCTGCATTGATTATCTAGACTATCCAGCACTGCTGCCGGGTAAGTACCACAAACATACAAAACATACAACATACATTTACCCCGCATTTGTTGAGGATTCAGGGGAGATAATCTTTTGAAACCATCCATATCTACAGTCCGTTTGATTTCATTAGAGACCGATGAATTGCTCACTAACACAATATCTAATAAACTTATTATTTTGTCGTCACTTTTCGCTATTTTTACAAGGGGAGACCACTTGCTGGTAGGACAGCCAGGCGAGTTGCACGTGTGAAGTTGAGATTTCATAACACACGCTTGTTGATTACCTGGCTGTTCTACCAGCACATGGTAGCCCTCGTGAAAAATAGCGAAAGTGAAAATAGCGAAAATTTATGAAAGTTTGTTTGATTTATTGCAAGTTGGTAAACCAATTATTTTTTCTGATGTCCAAAATTATGAGACAAATCATCAGAGTTAATCTGTCCATTTCATGTGACTGCACAATTTGGTTTTGTTGCAATTATTATATTTTGTGTTAATGAGCATTTCATCGATCTCAAATGAAATTAAACAGATTGTATATGTTTGGGGTTTAATACTTCTGTATAACGGATCGAAGCTATAATATGATCGTTTCGTCTATGAACTGAGCATAACTATTTGTATAGCTTTGTTATAATATGATCGTTTCGTCTATGAACTGAACATAACTATTTGTATAGCTTTGTTATAATATGATCGTTTCATCGATGAACTGAACATAACTATTTGTATAGCTTTGTTAAACGGATCGTTTCGTCTATGAACTGAACATAACTATTTGTATAGCTTTGTTATAATATGATCTTCTCGTCTATGAACGGAACATAACTATTTGTATAGCTTTGTTATAATATGATCGTTTCGTCTATGAACTGAACATAACTATTTGTATAGCTTTGTTATAATATGATCGTTTCGTCTATGAACTGAACATAACTATTTGTATAGCTTTGTTATAATATGATCGTTTCGTCTATGAACTGAACATAACTATTTGTATAGCTTTGTTGCACTACATGTTATGCAATGACGTGAATGTAACACTTCTGGCTGAATTTCTTTACTGCAGACATTTCTGCAAAGTTTCCTTTTTTCTTCCAGAAATAGCAGACATTATTTTTAACAAAATAATAATTATGTTTTTCACAAATATCACTTGCTATCCCAAGTAATGAAAGACTTTGCAAAGTCTGTAATTCCGGACTCGTGGAGACAGAATACCATTCTTTGCGCACCTGTGAAGACTATTATAATCTTCACTAGAGACATATCCCTTTGAATTTTGAATTCCCAACTCTGGCTAAGTTTAATTTACTTATGTCTTCTCAACAAGAATCTGTCATTAGAAATCTAGCCCCTTATATCTTCCATGCCTCAAATCTCCGCCTTAAAGCTCTTGTATTAGTACCTTGTATAATTTATATGACACTGTATTTGGGCTGGTATATCTTCCAGGCCTTGATGTACTAGTGTAAGTACCTTGTAAAATTATATAACACTGTATATGGACTGGTATATCTTCCAGGCCTTGATGTACTAGCGTGAGTACCTTGTAAAATTATATAACACTGTATATGGACTGGTATATCTTCCAGGCCTTGATGTACTAGTGTGAGTGCCTTGTATAATTATATAACACTGTATATGGGCCGGTATATCTTCCAGGCCTTGATGTACTAGTCTGAGTACCTTGTATAATTATATGACACTGTATATGGGCTGGTATATCTTCCAGGCCTTGATGTACTAGTGTGAGTACCTTGTAAAATTATATAACACTGTATATGGACTGGTATATTTTCCAGGCCTTGATGTACTAGTGTGAGTACCTTGTAAAATTATATAACACTGTATATGGGCTGGTATATTTTCCAGGCCTTGATGTACTAGTGTGAGTACCTTGTAAAATTATATAACACTGTATATGGACTGGTATATCTTCCAGGCCTTGATGTACTATGTGAGAGTACCTTGTAAAATTATATAACACTGTATATGGACTGGTATATCTTCCAGGCCTTGATGTACTAGTGTGAGTACCTTGTAAAATTATATAACACTGTATATGGACTGGTATATCTTCCAGGCCTTGATGTACTGTGTGAGTACCTTGTAAAATTATATAACACTGTATATGGACTGGTATATCTTCCAGGCCTTGATGTACTGTGTGAGTACCTTGTATAATTATGCATCACTGGATATGGCCAGTTATGTCTTCCATGCCTCGAATCTGCACTCTAAAACTCTTGTATTAGTACCTTGTAAATTTATGTATCACTGGATATGGACTGTTATATATCTTCCATGTCTCGAATCTGCACTCTAAAACGCTTGTATAAGTACCGTGTAAATTTATGTATCACTGGAAATGGACTGTTATATCTTCCATGCCTCGAATCTGCACTCTAAAACTCTTGTATGAGTACCTTGTAAATTTATGTATCACTGGATATGGACTGTTATATATCTTCCATGCCTCGAATCTGCACTCTAAAACGCTTGTATAAGTACCGTGTAAATTTATGTATCACTGGAAATGGACTGTTATATCTTCCATGCCTCGAATCTGCACTCTAAAACTCTTGTATGAGTACCTTGTAAATTTATGTATCACTGGATATGGACTGTTATATACATTCCATGCCTCGAATCTGCACTCTAAAACTCTTGTATAAGTACCGTGGAAAAAAAAAGCGACCCATGACTCTATGGCAGATGTGTAAACAACATGTCTGTGTATGACCCTAGTTGATCTAAAACCTATCAGTCGGTCCATTGACAGTAGTATTTGTAATCAGCAGACGTTCACTAAATTCAGATCTTTCAGTGAGGAGGAAGTACTCAAGCTGACCAAGAGATGTAAACCCACATCATGTGCTCGGGACCCTTTACCAACGTCCGTGCTGTTAAACAACCTTGACGTCCTTCTCCCTGTCTTGACGGTTATCATCAACACCAGCATTGAATCTGGTGAAATGCCTCACGTGTTGAAATCAGCACTTGTAAACCATTGCTGAAAAAGCCAAACCTGGATTGTGATGAATTTAGCAACCATAGACCGGTTTCTAACCTAACCTTTGTCTCCAAGCTCATTGGACGTGCAGTGTTTGATAGACTGTCAGAACATCTCCAACAACACGATTTGTATGACAATCTCCAGTCTGCATATCGTGGTCATCACAGTACTGAGACGGCGCTAGTCAAGGTCCTCGATGACTGGAGGCGTGGTGTTCATGAACAGAAAGTTGGTTTTATTAACCCTTCTCGATTCAAACTGTGTCTTTGATACCATCGACCATGGCAAACTCATCCATCGTCTCAGGTGTGATTTCTCCATTGACGGAACAGCTCTTACTTGGTTCCAGTCGTATCTGTCGGGTCGTTTTCAGACCGTCATCATTGATGGTCATTACTCCGACTCGGCCAGTCCTGTTCACATTGTACATAACAGAGATCGGAAGCGTACTTAATGAGCACCGTGTGAATCGCCATCACTATGCAGATGATGCACAGGTGTACAGATGCTTCACTCCTGACAACAACCAAACAGCTATTGCCTCGAGAGACATGTCCCAATGCTGAGTCAGTATCAATTCCTGGATGCTAGTAAATGAACTAAAATTGAATAGCAGCAAGACCGAATCAATTCTCCTGCGTCCAGTGAAACGGAGGGATCACTATGCTATTGATTCCTTCGAGTACGACAACTCACACATTCCTTTCGCAGATCAAGTCAGAGATCTTGGTGTAATCCTAGCCTCAGATTTGTCACTTGACAATAATGTCTCTTATCTAGTTAAGACCTGCTTCATCGCACTCCGGTACATCGGCAATATCTGTCAATACCTGACAACTGAAACAGGAACAACTCTTGTTCTATCCCTTGTCCTGAGCAGACTTGACTATTGCAACTGTCTGATGGCCGGTGCAACCAAGTCTCAGATACAAAAGCTACAAAGAGTCCAGAATGTAGCAGCCCGCACTGTGACAAGATCTAGGAAGAATGATCATATTACTCCTCTTCTATACTTTCTACACTGGTTGCCTGTGGATTTCAGAATTCATTTTAAACTTCTCTGATTTGTCTTCCGCTGTCTGTCTGGAACTGCCCCTACATATGTATCCAACTCTTCTTACTCTGTACAAGCCTTCTCGTTCACTCCTTTCCCAAGATAAAAATCTGCTTGTTGTCCCTAAAACAAGAACAGTGCAGTGTGGAAACAGATCCTTTGCCTATGCATCACCAGTGACCTGGAACAAACTTCCTGAGAATCTCAGGGACTGTACTGACTTTGTCACATGCAAGTCCTAGTTGAAAACACATTTGATCAGGATAGCCTTTTCTAATATCATTGTGTAGTTTGCTACATTCTGTCTGCGCTTTGAGCATGGCCTGCATGGATACCAGCGCATTACAAATGTGTTCTCTTGTATATGTACCTTGTTAATTTATGTATCACTGTATCACTCCATACCTCGATACATGTATAAGTACTTTGTAAAATCTATGTATCACTGGATATGGACTGTTATATCCCCCATGCCTCAAATCTCCGCCTTAAAAGGTCTTGTATAAGAACCTTGTAAAATTATATAAGACTGTAGATGGACTGGCATATCGTCCAGGCCTTGATGTACTTGTATAAGTACCTTGTAAAATTATATAACACTGTAGATGGACTGGTATATCGTCCAGGCCTTGATGTACTTGTATAAGTGTTTTATAATGTATCACTGTATACATATGGACCATGTTGTACACAGGGCTGATGGCCCACACCACTGTACCGAAATATGGGACGGAAAATATCAGTATACATGTATAAATTACTTCAGAAAGATCACCAGTTTTGTATTAAATCTGCATTTGTGGTGAAATATTGATCTCAGTGGTGAAACATTTTGCACTCCATTTGTCAGTATGAGAAATCCCGATTGACTGATAGGTGAGGGAATAATATTTTAACTGACAACAAATCATTTCATACACTCACAAATAAGCTAAAAAG